GTAACCTGTCAGACTCTGGACCAAGACTATGGTTGGGAAGATTCAGTGGATTTTAATGAATGATCAATTTAGAGTAGCAAGGACTGAAAAGATCTAGTGAAACTTACTTTGGAAGGAGGGCTTGGTTTCTCTTTGTAGAAAAATAAAAATAAAATGATCTAATTCTAGAGACAAAATCCCCTACCAAAAGAACTAAAGCTAAAAACTGAAACTAACTACTTTAAAAATTAAAGACATTTTTACTAAGATGCTACTAAGGTGATTGAAAAATACAACCTTCTCCATCAAAAAAAAAAAAGAAATTAAAGCAAACCAAAAAGTTGGCACTTGTTATGAGCCTTAAGAACAGCATTCTGAAATATTCTGCATGACCTAAGCCTTAGTATGTCAAGGCTAGGGGCTGTCCTGATGGAGGAAAATGTATTTTTGAAGATAAAAGCTTCAAGGAATTCTTTAGATATTTTTTAAGGAGGACAGATATGTGGGAGCAATTTTAATTTATTTTTGCCTTGTATTCAGTGTAAAATATTTGTACAAAAATATAAAAGGCATGGCTTGATGTTTAACGTCTGTGTTTTATTGTTGTTGGCACCAGAAAAAGCTCATGTTCTATGTTATGTCACTGAACATACTGTAAACAAGACTGCATTAATATTGTTTTCTTAAGAGTTTTTGTTTCAATGAATCTAGAGTTTAAAAAATACATTCACAAACTACCTTATGTTTAAACACAATGATTCCCTTTTATTTCTTAACTGTACCCAAAATCCCACAATAAAAAAATCATTTAAAGCTGTGTGTTTTGAACTCACCACTTAGAAATAAAAACAAAACATAAAAACAAAGATCAGTCTGCAACATAATTTAAAGAAGCTTCTGGTTTAAAGTACCACAGCAGCAATATAAAGAGCTGGTGGCAATCACATTTGAGAATGAGACCCAAATCTGTATATTTTGTCCACATCAGCATCCAATTATAGTAGTTGCTAAATTCAATCCAAAAAGTTATTGCTGAATTTGTTCCATGGAATTTGTGAAGATAGTATCATTCGGCAGCAGAATCACAGCAGTAAAAATGAGAACGGGAGGATTTCATTGCTTTTGAGAGCTAAAGGGACCATGATAAGGACATCTTGGTGATCGCCTGAAGATAACCCTCAATTCCATTCCTGTGTTACCCGCTTAAAATAAATGCAAATGACAACCACCTTTACAGGAGGGGCATAATCATCTACTTCAGAAACCAGAATTACTCCCCTTTCTTGCCCCCCAACCCGCCGAAACCACCAGATTGAAATGACTCCATTTTCCTAATGTGTATTTCGTTCTCATTAATAGTACATCAGCTGCTCGGGTATTTTAGGCAAAATCAGTAGGATTGCAGATTTTTTTTTTTTTTTTGATATGTTTACAGTAACTGTTTGCTCCAGAAACAAGCCACATTAGTTTTGTTGTTGGATTTTCTTTTTCAATTTTTCAAGAACAACAATTTGGTCAACTACTGTTTTGTTTAAAAAATATAAATACACCTGAGATTGCCAGTTGAGCTCTCTATATGTCTCCTGAAGATAACACTGCTGTGATGAACAGTGAAACAAAACAAACAAAACGAGGTAGGTTAAAACAGGAAGCGCAACACAGATATCGTTTTTGCAACACCTCGATACCACAGGCGGCCATGCTTGTAGCTTTGGAAAAAAATCCCAGACAGTCACGTAAAAGTTCAAATCATCTGAGTAAGAGTTTATAAGGACACAAGTTAATCTGAACTAAATACACACGTATTTCTGCACAAATGTTGTTTACCATATGTTGGATAATTTGGAGGAAGGTAAAATGATTAGGGTTTTAGAATTTTGGCCAAAGCCTTGCTTTCAAGTTCTATAAAATTCTGAATCAGTGATGCCTGCTGTGTCTCAGGCAGGCATAGTAGTCTAGTCCCTTCTCTCACCAAACCAAGAGAGCACAAGCAGCTCAGAAGCTTTTATTATTATTATTATTATTCAGTCACAGTTTTCTTCTTGAGAAAGTGGCACCATCAGGAGAAAGCTGGGAATGACCAGAGCCTGGATTCATTCACTCCCCAATATCCAGAAAGAACTCAACAAAATCCTTCCTAATGAAGCCCAAACTGAGTGACCTCTTAGCAGGGAGGCCCTATGCATTAAAAAAAAAAAAAGAATGTGTGTGTGTGTGTGTGTGTGTGTGTGTGTGTGTGTGTGTGTGTGTGTGTGTTAGCTTGTTTCCCAGAAGCTCTTTCTGTATGACCTCATCTGCCATCCCACCTTTTGCCCTGATCTGTTGCATAATAGCTGAGGGAAAATTGTGTTAAAGGTCCCTCAAACGCTAAAGCCAACTCAACTCAATGGCACTACTATCCCATTCAACATACTCCTTTCTGTACAGGGCCATATAAAAATAGGGCCTGTCAGACTCACAAAAATGGTAGTCGATTTTATTAGTCTAAGGCTAGTAGTTTAGCCATTTAAAATCTATTTCCCAAAAGAGGGGAAAACTAGTACAGTATTTTTCTTCTCTTAAAAATTCATTAGCCAGTTGCTATCAAAAAGCAACCTTTTGGGTTGGTGAAGGCAAAAGAGCTCTAAAATTACCCCACTGTGCAGTTATGGCCTTCAGTGTAAGGAGATAAGGTACATTTATTGTGCTGTCTCTCACCATTTGGAATTGGAAATTTTACAATATATCATATACTTAAAGCTAGCAGGCAGACAGAATTAAAAATGGACTAATTTTCTCATTAAGCATTTTCTCCCCATTCTTACAAAGTAAGGGGGTAAAGAAAAAAAGGTAAAAAAACAAAACAAAACAAAACTCAAAATCCACCATAACACAGCTTAATCATAAGAGCACACAATATTTGTTTCTATCCCTAACTCCGAAGGGCACATGGTCCATCTTTGTCCACAGACAACGCAGCATTCTTGGGGATCTCCTGGAAATTCTGCCACCTTTTTCTCTCCTTCTCAACCAGGTTGCAACATTGAAAGATGGACTGTATTGGGACGGGTGGAGGGAGAGGAAAAGGGGAAAGTGGTATGTTCAACCAAGCCTTCTGATTCTGCCTCTAGACTGGCATAAGTCCACATGAGTTATGTTCTTTTAAATTAGAAATAACGCCATGAAGATAAGTGCCAAGTGCTCTTCTGTTACCAGTTCATCATGGAATTTCTGTTGAGGGTCATGAAAAACACTTGGCTACTTCCTCCAGATCGCACGGATGCAAAAAATACCTGTTTGAAATTAAAAAGAAGTTAGTTCAACTGCATGGTTTCTTTCCCTCTTTTCTTTAACCGTCCATCCATTTTCTCTCACATGTCCTATCCTTGCCATGTGTCAGCTCTTAAGACTCATTGACTGGTGTTTATAAAGTGCCTTTTAATACAGTGCATCATCTGTAAACACTCCTGCCTTTATTACTATGATAGTTACTATCATTTAATGTGGTACTGGCCTTCAGGGACATGGAAGGGGCTGTGTCTTGATTTGTAACATCCCTCAGGCATTCACATTTTTAAAGGGAGTTTCGTGCTAAGATAACGTGCTGGATTTCTGGCATTCAAAAATTTAATTTTTGGAAAGCCACAGAGGCTCTCCTTCTCTCTCCCAAAATGACAAGAAGGCAGTCTTTAGTTTCGAAGAGAATTCTTTTGAATTCCCAAAGTCACGAGGAAATTTTGGGCCTACTGACTACTATACGTACAACTTTAGTTCTCAAATTTTAAAATAAAAAAAATAAATGGTTGTAGTCAGACAGGGTAAACTGTTCAATGCCTATTCACTTTGGAATTTCAAGAATTAATATGTGACTTCTCTGCTGATGCAGCCGTATCCTAGGCCAGAGGAGGTAATGGCACTAATAAGTAGAACCACAGTCCATTAGGTTGGGGTCTGTTAAATCATTTTATCAAACAACTGAGAGAAGTGAGCAAAATTTGGATTGCTGCTTGCTTGAGCTGAATGTTAATGAACCACCACCCTAGGAAAATATCCTGGGCTGTGGCCTAGCTCTTCAGTCAGCCAACACCAAACTTTGGTTCAAGGCATTTACTTTTGTCACTAGTATACAGTCTCTGCTACTTCATTTCCATAACTTCTTCAGAAGAATGCTGTCTCCCAACAACTTCTTAGGAAGTTCTGTGGAAATGCTTGTCATTCAGCTAATGCTGTATATGTAAGTAAAGCTACCGTTAGGGTCAATGAAGCAAAATGGAGAAGCAGAGAGGACCCATGGGAAAGAAAAGACTGCTGTTTTCTCCAGGTCATGTGTACCCTGGACTCTAAATCTTGGGCCCCAGACACTGGTGTGGCCTGGAACAGCTTGTTGAAGTGGGTCTTCAATGAATTGGAAGTATGGGAGTCCATACTAAGACCTTATGATCCCCAGAGAGTAGTTGGGGGCTGGAGTTTTATTTATAGGGTCAGGTTTGTTTTCTGGCATACTCTGGTCAGGCCCTGGAACCATCCTTGCCACCTACAGCTGTTGTCCACCTAGACACAACAGACCACACCAGGTTAGAGTAGTTGGCCAGGGTTGAATCTGGTCTAGACCCAGACCTCCAGGGTTAGGCTAAGACCAGTCTGGCTTCTGGGGAACCAGGGTGAGCTAAGAGATGTACATCTGATCAAGCCATTACATTCTTTTTTATAGGCGTGATATGTCTGCTGTTTTGGGGACAGCACTTCTAAGTTGGCCACAGTCACAAAGGATGAATTCACAAATACGGTCTGGCTTAACTACTAAAAATTCTGGGTTAGTCTACAGGGAGGGCAAGGGAGAAGCAGCACTGCTGTAGAATACCCTTCTGGAGTGACTGATCATACCAGATGGACACTGCCACTTTCATTGGAAGAATGTCCCCCTATGACATTTCAGAAGAAACATGGCTGGAATGACACAGGACATGGCACTAGTTGAGTTTGTGATTGTGCATTCCATAAAGAATGGGTGACATTTTTTTAAAAGTTTATATTTCTACGTGTCAAATGTTTTACATTTAAAGGTGAATATAATATGATGGGTTAGGTCCCTACAGTGACTTTCTGAAAAGTCTAAAAGTGGAATATAAAGTTGACCCACTGTGAGATGATTAATGATGGACCAACTCTTCTAAGTGCTTAGGAGAATTTGGGGTGTCTGCTGAGTCATCATAGAGCCTGCAGGCCAAAGAAGTTACTAAGAATATACAAGAAATTTTTAGAAGTGTTTGTCCTTTTGGATATGTGATTATATATTTTGAGGGTTCACATAAATCAAACCAAATAATGCCATTTCAAGATAATATTGTTTAACACAGATGTGATTCAAATCAGTATAAAGGAAAATGAAGGTTTCACAGGTACCTGGTGGTCTCTTAAAATGCAAACACTAATGCAAATGTTGAAACGGATTTACCTTATCATTTCGTTCACATAGAAACTTTAACCTTTGAGCTCGCTTATGCATAAATACTCCATCCAAATGTCCTGTTTCCACTGACCGGATCTCAATAGCTTTCTCGCCCCAGCCCATTATCTGATTGGAATGAATGTAGGCTGTCAAAAGGAATTTCCAAAACTGCATTAAAAACATTAGATGGGCAATAACTCACAGCATCTGTTCACATCTTAACCACAAAAATGACAAACGACATGAGATAAACGGACAAAGCAAGCCTTACAAGTGTTATTCACAGACTTTTTTTTTTTTTTTTTTGGTAGAATCAAATGGTTGTTTCACATTTCTTGACTTTCGTTTCATTTGGGGGGTGTAACTGCTGAAGGAGATAAGGAATGGTTAACCTACCCACAGATGTGGGCATTTCTCCCCATTGGAGCACCACATCCTTAGTTATCCGGCCGTAGGTGTTGACATACACCCCCTCATCCTCATAGCAAACAAGCATTTCCATTCCATCGGTTTTAGGCAAGATAACAATGGCATGAGGAGTGATATTGCCCTGAATCTAAAAGACAAAGAAAAGCCAGGCATTATTCTTTTTAAAAATAAGACATCTTGACTATTAATCTCTAAGAATTAAAAAAGAGGGTTTCCCCGCCCCTATTTTCACTCTAGAGATTGATATTTCGATTTGTTTAACTTGACCACGTACCTGTCATATACTGTGGTAAACACAAACCTAGGCACTAGATTGAGAATCAGAATTTACCTATTCCTAAAAATAACAATAACTCTGTGCCAAGCACTGGACCTTTTACATATCTAATGTTTAGTCCTCAGAATAGCTCCTCATGGGAGGTATCTTTGTCTACAAATCAGGCAACTACATTTCAGAGGGATGATGAAAATTGACCAAAGTGGTACTAATATTTGGTGGTAGAAGGGGAATTGAGCACAGGTCTCACAGACATTGAAAATCATGCATTTTCCATCTATTTCCAAAAAAGATGAGGAGAATGCAAATCACCTCAATCTGATGGAGACAGCCCAAATGAGGCCAAAAGGTGGGACCGAAATGGACTCCTACCAAACAGACTATGAGTATATAACACAGATTATTTATCTGTGTGTCTAAATAACAGAATAATACAAATTAATGGTTTTCTTAGAAAAAAATTTAAATTACCACGCTTTAAAAAAATTAAAATAAGTGTAGATTGAATTGCTCCAGGAAAGAGATGCGGTACTGCCATGTTCCTGGGTTGAGAATGTCATGGCAGTCCAGCAGGTGCTGGGTGCGTAAGAAGGAGAGGATCATGGATGATCATGGCAATGTCCCAGTCACCTCAACAAGAACACAGCTTTGAGTCCCGTGTGCGCATACCCACGCATGTGGTGAAAAGCTGTAATGCATCAATGAATGGTGTGTGCATGTGAGTGTCACATACTAAAACAACTTTTTAAAAATTGTTGTGCTTCTTTGGAATAAAGTCTTTAAAATCTCAAAATACCAATCAGCAACAGATTAGTCTCAGACTTTACTGATAGTTTTTACTGTATGTTAGTCTTGGGATTACATACAGTAAATAGAACTTACACTGTACCAGTTCTACTAAGCGAAACCATGTACAGAGTTTTCCTTTGAAAGTCATGTTTTAGGCAATGTGTCAGTATAGTAATATGTACTACAATTTGCAGGGCCTTGTGCCAAGTACTTTAGATGCATTACCTCATTTAATGTTGATGATAATCCTATGGGATAGGTCCTTTTATCCCCATTTTACAGATGTGAAAGCTGAGGGTTGGAGATTGACTAATGCAGCCATTATTGCAAAGTAAATACAGGCTAGAGCCAGGGTATGCACTCCAGTATGTCTGATTCCACTATATGACACTGCCCTCAAGTTGAAAAGAGAAACAAAAATAGCAGAAAAAGGACCATTGGCCTTTTCCTACATAAAATAAACCAAGCTCACTTCAAAAACTGAAAATAGGAACCCATCTACCGTACCCCTGCTTAAAAAACAAAACTTATGCCCCTGAAGGAAAAACACCATATGTATTTTAATCTAAAGTCCAAGACAACAGGCCCAGTGAATGCTAAATAGCTGCTCTCATGTGTTACTCAGTTTTAAGCAGTCATAAAAATTAGTTAAATTTACATGTTTTATTTATTAAAAGCATTGCCTCTTTAGTGAAGGCCAAAAGTCCATCTGCTTTACTGATTAGTAAAAATTAGCATGACTTCCACTAAAAATGCGCAAAAGCAAATCTCATTCTACATTCAGGTTGTTGTACAGAAAGCCCTGACAGTCTGCTTCCAGGAACTTACATGAGATGGTATGTAGATATCGTAAGAGTTTCCTGAATCAACATCAATTACATGGAAACCAGTGTGTGAACCAAAAATAACCTTTAATCTTTGACCTTCTTCTACTGTGAGATCAACAAGCAGTGGCTTGTGCTGGAGATCTGCAAAAGACTTTAAAAATCACCCCATGAGTGTATATATCATTCAAAAAGCTTATCTTAATAATTTTTTTCCTTTATCCATATTGCCTAGGGAAGTTAATATCTGACTTTCTTAAATTGAAAAGCCAGGTAATTTCTCTTTCAATTTCAGGCCTGTTTATATTCCGGCTCTAGGAAGAAGGGCCTAGCACCCATTTGTGCCCTTTTCTCCACCCCTTGCCCTCCAGGGAAGAGAAGTGGTTTATAGTCAATTTTCGATACTGTTGTCTGTCATATATTAACAACTTGGTGATTGGGTACTACTATTCTTTTCTGCTTACTTTTGGCCTTTTCTCTCAAAAGGAGGTCTAGTTATCTCTCTGGTCTCTCTCCTTCCCTTGTGACAGACAAGTCCATGCATGGCTACTATCTTTTCAGAGATAGCCTGGGGTAGGCAGCAGAGCCAACTCTGTGCTAAGCTCATTCAGAATTAATAAGCATGCTCTGGTTCTCATTTTCTTTCAGTGAATTAATGGGCATCAGATTGGCATTTTCTCTAAACGTATGCTGAGATCTGAGATGAGTTTCGGTGATGGAGAAGGAGGGTGAGTGTGGAACATCACAAGACTCAAGATTCATTTTTTTTTTTTTACATGAGTGTTGATAGCAGCTTTATTCATAATTCCTCAACCTAGAAACAACCCTGTTGTCCTTTGGCAGGTAAATGATTAAACAAGCTGTGGTATATATATCTATACTATGGAATACTACTCAGCGATAATAAGGGGCAAATTATTGATACATGCAACAACCTAGATGACTTCAGAGAACTATGCTTAGTTCGTTAGTTGGGTTTAACTAGAAAGAGAGAAAAGAGCCCCAGCCAAGTTCATCAAGGTTCTATGTGTTTGAATCCAACGCCCTAATTAGCTGTCAAGTGTTTTGTTTTTCTTTGCAGTTATTTATCATACTCTACCTTATTGAGTCTTTAAGTCTCGGAGAGAATTTGTGAAACCTCAAGTGCCTCAGTATAATGCCACTGCCCGCTAACAGATCCCTTTCTTCTCATCTTTGGCTAACATCATTCTCACAGTATGGGAGGCCCTAGCTTCGTATCTTTGTCCTATGGGAGGGCTTGATTCCCTGCCAGCTCCAACAGTTTTTATTCAAGTCCTTGCCTTTGCTCTTCCTTCTTTACAGGCTGGCTGTGATCTGCTGAATAAAGCATTTTGCAATCTCTCATATACTTTTTGGCTAGTAAACTGATAGCAGTAACTTCAGAACTGGAATGGGATCTTGACTGAAAAGCTTTTGCGGAGAGAGATTTTTACAGAACAGCAGTATCACGTTTAGCTTTTAGGAGTCATCCCTTAAGTGTTCTTACTAACCTAATGCATTCCAAAGATTTCTCTCCATAAAAGTAGGGTTATGGAGGAAAGCCCATTTCCACTGATGACTCTATCTTCCTGAGCATATCACAAATGGGCCCCTTGCACTAAGGGAACAAAAAAGAAGTGGGCGAGTCAGCCCAGAAGGCCTAACAATGTTCCCAAGTCAGCTTCTGCCCTCACATGGCATATGTTGCAAGAAAGAATACAAAAGGGGTCAAAGGGAATAATGGTCAAAAGGGAAAATGGGAGCCAATAAAATATAAAGAAAGGGACATAGGCAGAGAGAAAATAAACAGAAGATAAATTCACACTGGCTATAGGTAGACTATGCAGCTCTGAAAACACTGAAGTACTGGCCCCAAGTACTGGCCCTTTTGGTTTTTGGGAGTCAGCTTTCATGATCTGGGGTCAATGAGACAAGCATATCTCCATCCCACTCCTGTCGAATCTCATGAATGATCAGTCTAACCATGATGGGTAGAGACTCCGACAAGGTCAAAAATGAAAAAGCCATAAAAGTTGAAGAATGCAGAGAAACGAGGTGAGTTTCAGATGTGACTACACTCAGTCTTCATTTCAGAGAAATACAATAGCAATGGATATATGGAGCATCGAGGGAGTTTTAGGGACTGTACCCTCAAAGGCTTATGAGGATTACAAGATTTAGAGACTCAGTTCAACCTTGAGATTCAATGCTGCTCTCGGTTTGCCTTTTTCAGATGAAATATCAGAGTGTGCCTTAGTTAGGTGGCTGTATAATGAATCTCATTGCTTAATATCACAATTAATGATTCACCTGGGAACCATCCCATGCTAGATGCCACTTGGAGATGATGATTCATATTTGAAATGGAGGAGAGTGTACCCAAATTTTAATTTGACTAATTTTATAGCACTTATTAATACTTAGTCTTCACATTTAGAATAATAAATCTAAGAGTTCCTCTACTTTTTAAAGAGGTTTATTATATACAGGAATATTATTAGTCTATGTGTAAGACAGATCACTTCGTTAACTGGTAGAAAACTAAAATTAAAAAAAAGCCCTTTTTAGGTAATCGCATGCCTGCTTACCTTAAATGCCATGAACTTATGATATGGTTTAGGAGCCCAAGCGTATATCTCCACAGCATTCTTTAAGGCAATTACCAAGAACTTAATCCTCTCATATTTAACTGTAATAGAAAATTTAGAAATTAAAAAAGTATATCAATTTATTCAAGTTTTTGTATTAATAAATGTGTAAGCCACAATATGCACATACATATATAAAACCATAATTGAGGGTGATGCTGTTGGTGTGGGATTTTCTCAGAAATATAGATTTAATTTCCTTTAGTGTATTTGGTTTTCAAAATACTTGGGGACTTGTGTTTTATGTTGAAGGCTCCTTCTTCATGTAAAGATGTAACTGGCTTAGGACTGTCTTTAACTATTAGGTCTTGATGTGAACTATACATTGTAATAAGAATCCTCATAATATCCCTTGATGTTTCCTTGCTTGGCTTTTGTGTTCACTGACATGTAAGTAGTTGAGACCTGGTAGAAAAATTAACAGTGGGTAGAGACATAAAGGCTGCTATTTTCTAATTATTCAAAATTGAATTCCAATTATTAAAAATGTGTAAGGAATTAGTGCCCTTATAAAAGAGACTCTAGAAAGATTTGTCTCCCTTTCTGCTATGTGAGGTTGCGATAAAAAGCTGTCTATGATCCTGGAAGAGGGTCCTCACCAGACACTGATCTGCCTGCACTTTGATCTTGAACTTCCCAGCCTCCAGAACTGTGGGAAATAAATTCCTGTTGTTTATCAGCCTCTTAGTCTGTGGTATTCTAACAGCCCGAATAGACTAAGATAGTACACATACTGTCATTTTTTAAATACAACATCTGAACAAACAGAATATTCTTTGTTCTTAAAAAAATTGGACAGCCCAGGGTAACTGACCAGATTCTTGCTCTTTGAGCTCTTTTTCTGTAGCATGCTCCTTCTGTTTACACGTTCTGTCTTTAATATACTTTCAACTACTTCCTTAGCAATTTATTTATATATTTCTAAATAACATGCTTATAATTTTTTTCAGTTGTGGAAGTTATCTACTAACTCTTTCTACCACTCTACTTGGATTGATGTATATGTATATTGTCTTTATATATATCCTATTGGTTCTGCTTCACTGGAGAACTCTGGATAATACAGATGGGTTATGAAATTCTAAGTGGAAACAATCTTTCCCTCATGAATTTTGAAACCTTTGTCATCTAATTTTCTAGCATCACCGGTAAGTTCCAGACCACCTGATTTTGGGTCTCTTATATGTAAACCGTTTGTTTACTTATAATCTAGATGCTTTAAGGACTTTCTTATTTCCTGGGTACTGAAATATCATGTTGATACATCTTGTTGTGAGTCTTTTTCATCCACTATAATAGGTGCTCAATGAATCTTTTCAATTTGGGATTTCAAGGCCTTAGTTATAAAAAATTTTCTTGTATTCCTTCTTTGATACTTTATTCCCCCTTCCATTTCCTATTTTCTCTTTTTCCTAAAACTTATACTGCTTAGATTTTGAACCACTTAGACTGATCTTTTTATTTTTTTAACTTTTCTCCACTCTACCCCCTTTCCTTTTTGTTCTACTTTCTACGGAATTTCTCATCTTTGTCTTCTAACATTTCTTTTTTTATTTTTATTTTTTAGGCGAGGCAACTCTTGGTTGACCTCACAGATTGCAAGGACCTTGTGAGCTAACACCTGGTCTTCCTAGGTGTTCTCTCATCCAAGTATTTACCAGGCCCTACCCTGCTTAGCTTCTAAGATCAGATGGGATCAGGCTTGTTCAGGGTAGCATGGCTGTAGACCTAACACTTCTATTACATTTGTTTCCTGACAATATATTTTAATTTTCAAGATTTTTTTTCTTGGTCTCTGAATGACTTCTCCCAACCTTGCTTCACATTTTTTAATAGTCCCTATTCTTTTTTTATGGAAACAGTTTTTATAATCTCTCTGAAGTTATTATAGCTTCTTTAAAATATTCTTCCACTCCTCATTATCCTTGTTTCCTCTAAAGTCTTTTCTTTCTATTTAAGTTTCATTGCTACTAGTTAATTTCCCCATATCTGGTATAAGTGGGCTTATTGACTGGTTCCATTTTAAGAAGTTAAGACAGCAAGCTTTTTTCGTGGCATTTCAAATATCAGTACCTGAACATCTTTTGTTTCTGGCCATTTAGTTTCTCCAAAGATAAATCTTTTAATCTCTTGCTTGGGAATTTAAGCTTGGCTGCCAACATTTTGGTAGCTAATCAGGGGATGGAGGTATATGTGCATGTGTGTCCTCACAATTCAGTATTCTGTATCATCAGATTGCCTGTGCCAACCTTAAGTCTTCTGTTTCAGAGTGTGTGTGTGTGTGTGTGTGCGCGCGTGTGTGTGTGTGTTGAAGCGGGGACGGGGGCTGCCTGACTGGCTTCTAAAAGACTTACTGCTCATCAACTCTCCAACAATCCTCTTATTTTCAGTTGACTCTACACTGCCACCTCAGATACAGTTGGGGCCTCAGGCTCTGGCCTTTCTGGGTTCTATTAAGTGATTGGATGGATTTTGATGAATTTACTCGCCGGAAACTTAAAATTCAGCATTTCCTGTCAGCCAGGTTTGTTTTCAGTCATTCAACTACTTTTGTTCAATTTTTTTGACATCTTGTTTGCCAGTTTCTCTTCTCCTGGCCCCTTTGTCCTTGTGGGTTTATGACATTTTTATTCTTTCACTGTCATTTTAGTGGGTGGGTGGGAGTGAATATAAAAGTTTAAACTGGAGCATAGGACTTTATTCTGAATTCATTTTTTGAACTTCATCTATCTGACGTTTTTTGGAAATAATGTAAGTATATGTAAGGTTTCAGTTAGGTCTTAAACTGGCCACAAATTCATCATCAATACCTAACAGAAAAAAAACTTAATGAAACTTAACAAAATGAAATTGAGTATACAACAACAACTCCATGTCTGGAGACTTACCAACTTTGTAATGTATACACCCTTCCAAGTCCCCAACGGTGATCCAGCCTTGTTTCTTTTCCACTTCTGGATCATTGTGCAGGATTCTGTTTCTTAACCATGAAAGATAATAAACTCGTAGCTTATTCTTCTTTCCTGTTGAAATAATGGAGCTTTAATTTCAAGCCCTGCAACAGCTTTTCCCTTCAGTCCTTCCTCATTTCCATTTTAGTTTATTCATTTATTTTTATTTACAATTTGTGTGTGTGAAGGCATAATAACCAGTGTCCCCAGCATCATCAAAGTGCTGTCTCTGCCAAGTGTTGTCGGCTCCAAGTGTTTTGGACAAAAACTTCTTTATGATTTGTCTTTACTTTCAGGTGGTTTCTTATTTGAGCAAGCTGCTCTTGCTCTCTCTTCTCAATGCAGAGGGAAACTCAGTAAGACCTAATCTGTAATAGGATGGTTGATCAGAGTTCCAGAACATTCTAGATCTAATTACACATGAGGGAGTAGTGAAAACTGGACATTTTAGCATACTTATGTGCGACTGCTTTTCCCTCATCTTCTGACATAATAGCATATGTTAATGGAGAGCCTCTTTTGCGCCTCTTTTTTAAAACATGACAGCCAGTAGTAGTTTTATTTTACCTGATTAACAAAAAAAGGGACTTTTATAAGGAGACAAAAAGAGAAAGTTCAATGAAGGCAATCTGGGCTTAGAAAATAAACCTGGACACATTTATGCTGAGACCACTGAAACGAATACTGAACAAAAATAGGAAAAGAGAAAAAGATGTATACTTGGAAAACAACTTATAAGTTCTCTTTAGTAAAGTGCTCCTAGAATAAAGAATTCTTAGTATGATAAGAAAACATCTTAAAAATACTGAAGTGTACACATGGAGCAACATTTAGTATACTTCATGAGATTATCTGTGTATCAGATAAGAAAATGTCTTTTGGAGTGGCTCTTCGGAAATGATCAGAAATTTAGGCTTGTGGATTTTATTTCTTAGGTACTTATTTTCCTGTGATTTCCTCTTAGGCATCAAAAGATGTTTTATATTTTACAGATGTGATATATACCAGAAGAGAATTCATTAAAGCATGGTACAGTGGACTTAACAGGAGAGTACATTCAAAACTTAAATTAAGGAATCATTGTGCAGTTACTATTCCTTTTTATAACCAAAAGCCTAGACTATGCATTGAGCACAATAGCTAGGATGGGCAGGAGAGCCAGTGCTTCTTCCTTTCTATGCCAACATGGACTCAAGGGCAGTTCAAAATCTTTCGCTCTTATTTTCTTTTTCTTATTTCCTCATCTATGCTCATGATGAGAGAAAATGCTTATATCTTTAAAAATGAGAATGTGTCCCTAACAACATAATGAAGCCTGAATGTGAATTTTCTGGTATCATTTTCACTTTTGGTAGGTGACTGGGCAGATGCATGGTTTTAAATTTGATTTGGTAGTGTAGCAATCAAGAAAGCAATTAACCAGAACAAAGGACTACACTGAATTAAACTCAAATTATAATATAAGAAGAATTTACCTGTTAACCATTATGTGGGGAGAATAAAAAGAAATGAAACTCTGAGCATTCAGTGGAAAGGTGGAAGGAAATTGAGCATCAAGTGAAGGCATTTTTTCAAAATAGAAATACAGTGGAAGAGTTAAACTTTATTCAAGGTTCCACCCAGTAGTGTTGCATTGTCTCCGTGAAACAATGGCTGAGTGTAGACTCATGGTTTTCAAACTTGGCCACACACTTGAAACACCTCAGGAGCTATGAAAGCAATGGATTCCTAGGCCGCACTCTAAGAGGTTTGACCCACTGATCTGGGGTGCATCCTGGGCTTTTCATATCTTCTCAGGTGGTTCTACTGTGCAGTTACGGTTTGTTTCATAGTGGATGGAATAGCAGGGAGAGAGAGAGGGATGTTATTTATTAAACTCCTTCAAACACCACCACAAAGAAAAAAAACTCAATAAAAATAGACTCAGGTTACATTTTTGACTTTTCAGTAATAAGGCCTTCACTTCTGTCGCTATCTTTTTTCTTCATTTTTTTAAAGATTTTTTGGGGAACCAGAAAGCTGCGGAGTGTAGCAGTAGTGATTCCCGCATTCAATTCCTTTTGCAGACTCTATCACCTAGGAGGCCAGCTGCACTTGCTAAAACATCAGTGGACTATACGCTAGCGCTGTTCTGGTGAGAAAAGAGACCAGAGAAATTTCTGCTCACAAAATTTCCCACTCCCATCCATGGCCATGCTACCCTGAACAAGCCAGATCCCGTCTGATCTTGGAAGCTAAGCAGGGTAGGGCCTGGTTAGGACTTGGATGGGAAACCACCTAGGAAGGCCAGGTGCTGTAGGCATAAAAAATAAAAAAAATAAGGGGTTGTAAGCTGACAAGGTCTTTGCAATCTGTGAGGTCAACCAAGGGTTGCCGCGCCTAAAATATAAATAAATAAATAAAGATTTTCCACTCCCAGAAGCCTACATTTTGATATTCTCCATCTGAGAGTAGACAGCAATGACTGGAGTGCAGACACCTTAAAAACATCCTTGCTGAGTCCCAGTGGAGGTTAAAGGCCCACAAAGATACTGCCGCCTTTGTGGTATGTCCCTGCCTAATTCAGATTTCAAGCTGAGGTGAGAGACTTTCCTTTGGAGGTCAGAATCTTCAGAGTTAAAAGATGAGGGTGATCTTACTCCGGCTATACTGCTTCTGTCACTTGACAGCTTAGAAGGGCAGAATCTACTCTTTCTTCAGAAACTAGGTTATCATCTCTCCCACCTGCAGACCTGGAGGACTAGGTCATCCTAGTAACATACCTGATATTGTCACAAGGACATTCAGTCCCTCTAGCACATCCATCTGCTGAAATCGCCTCCGGTTGATCAGATTATAGACTTTGCCTTGCCCACTTCGGTCCAAAAGCATCAGGCCATTTTCAGTTCCCACCAGGAGGTTTACACCTGCAAATTTAAGAAGCATCCCAAGATTGACTTTTTAAGGGCTTTAACTTTCTGCATCTGGGGTCCCTGTAAAACTTAAAAAACTGTGCCTTGTAAATATAAACTAATGGACAAGTAGATACTATAGTAAGGAGTACAGAAGTAGAAGCTCTGACACAGTAATTAAATCACTATCTCTTTGGTAATGAAATTAGTATTCTTTTATAAAGTGGTAGCAGCATTCATTACATCTAGCCATTTACTTCCTAGTATAAAGAGTCCTTCTCAATAGGAGAGTTAGGCGTAGCTGTGACATTACCAGTTTGCCTTTGTTCTTTTCCTGTAACACCTACCCTTTCTCGGCTCTCTCTATAAATCCCACCTTGAGACTTCCCCAAGATTCACCCCCATCCCTATTCATGCAGTGATTTCTAGTCTACTCACCTTTAACATATAACAGGATGCCTCATTTTCATACCTCACTGGAATAAAAGCCCGTCCTCACACCACAGTGAAGGTGTTATTAGCCTGAAAGTCACTGAAATATTGACTATAAGGAACTTCTCGGGTATCTAAATCTAGTCCAGCCCACCTTCTATGCAATAATCTCTATTACAAAAGCTCTGGCAGGTAAGTGGTCTGGGTCTGGATAGATAAAATTCATCCCTGGGCAAATTGTACCTCCCCCACCGCCGCCACACCCCGCCATAACATACACATACACAGTGAGAGGTCCACTGTGCAATGCACTATATTCACGAACAGGTAACCTTCCAACTTTTCTTGCTTGCTATCTATCTTCTGAGGAACATGAATGTCTGCTCTTTCATCTACATATTATCCAACATTAAACATGGCTATCTTGCTGTCTTCTGTTTCTTCTCTATAGGGCCGAGCCTTACTTACCTCCAACACATCTATGAAATGGTTTTCAGGCTTCACACTCTTCCCTGCTAACATCTCAGATGCTTTTGCCCTTATAAAACTGTGGTGCCCCAAACCAGACCTGGTACTATAGATGGGTACAGATGGGTCATGTCTTTCCTTGATCTGTACGACGTTTATAGTAACACAGACCAGGACTTTGATAGAATCTCATCATATCTGTACTGAGTTTGAGGTCAGCTAATACCTGCAGATCTTTTTCACAAGAACTGCAGGTTTATGTTTTGAACTAAAAAGGAAGGTTCATCATTTGTTGTCTTTTTCAAGTTTTATCTTGCTACTATTAGTGGTATGGCTTTTGGCAATTCATTAAAATATGCTGAAGTGGTTTTTCAGTTGTGAAATAGAGGTAACACCATAATTCCCCTTGTGGGATGTTATATGATGGGGTACATCATAGTGCTGGACACATAGTGGCTGTGTATTAAGTGGAAGCTAGTTCTTTTGTTGGCTTTAGTCCATCACTGTTATTTATGACAAGGTTCTGCATCTCATTTTGTTATCCTCAGTATTAGGGTATTAGTTCTTCTACATATAAAGTTGCTCTTGATGTCTTCTGAGGCCAAGACAGTCCCAGGGTAGGGCTCTAACACCCATTATTCCAGCAGTGTTATTCTGATAGTAAGATCCACAGTCTTGAAATGTTTGAGGGTCAGTTCATTACTGAGGGGTAAAAAGAGCCAACTTACCCCACAGAGCTGCACAAAGTATTTCTGAGTTGAATCGTTTCTTGTATTTTCTGATTTCTGGTGTGTCGCTATGAGGCCGAATGTTGGTTGGGTTTACGTTTACCACTGAAATCTTTCTTGCTTCATTGAGTTTGGCCTGTTCTTGCCTAAGAAGTTCACTAGTAAACAGAGCTTTGAGAAAAAGAACCAGATAAGTCAGTGGCATCTTAAAAAATAACCAATGGAGATATGGAGAAAGGGCTTCAAAACACAATGATTTCTTCTTGTTTAGTGTGTGTTATATTATAGCAAAGGCAAAGAAATTCTGAAACTACACATATTTTACATTTTTTTAGTAGAATAAAGTATAAGTTATTCATAGAAGCAGTATTTTATCCATTAGTAAAACAGGCTTATATACACTACTTGAGAAGTTTAGGGAATTGATATTCATCTCAAAAAATTAAAAACACCATCCCCATCTCCTGTAACATATGCAGAAAAAAATTTACTTTTGGAAATTGTGCAACACCAACTGACAAATTGGCCTAAGTTGAATCTGATGATTAGTGAGTTTCAGAAGTCTAGAAAGCAAGACTCTTCTTGAAAGCAGCCAGACTTTCGCAGTGGGAAACACACACCTAGAACTCAACACAATTCAACACGCACTTATTAAGTGTCTACTGCGTGCACAGCATTGTACCCAAAAATTGCTTTTGAGAAATATGTGGTAAGTTTGAAGATCTCTGAGGAACAGCTTTTCCTAGGGCCTCTGGGTACCTCTGGGCTCCTACCAGAAGTGAAATAGAAGAAATGAAAGAAAAATGGAGAGAAAGAAATTTGTTTTAGGAATCCTACAAAAAGAATAATTAAAAAAATAAAAATCTTCCCTTTAAGACAAGGCCTAAGCAGTAAATGGCTTAACTACTGAACTAATGATTAAGCTTTTTTTTTTTTTTTTTTAATCAGGCCATACCATTAAGGCAAACCAACTGTTTCTAAAACATTGGGGCCTTCTTGCTTACCTGTGGCTGATGAGTCTTCATCCTCTTCGTCTTCATCAGTGGGAGATGTCTGGTATACTCTGGGGTCCACAAAGGGGGTGAAGGAGGCTTTAGTGCTGCTCCCCATGCCATACTAATCAATAAGCAAGAAGATTAAGAAGAGCAGATAAATAAATACTGCAGCAACAAACAATACTAACAATACTTTGCTTGGGCTTTAAAATAATTATGAATTCTTCAATCTATCTAGCTGTTCATACTCTAACCCCGTAGTCAAAGTACATGCCTCTCTCTCCAGCTTCTCGTGGTATTGCTTACTCATTAGCCATTATGCCTTTGCAAGGTTTCATTAATTATCAGACCGCAAGAGTTGAAGTAATCATATTATATTTTGGACCATATGTGGTACATTTATATCTGGTAAGATGACTGTGGTGACAGAGCTAATCTTTCCCTTGAAGTCACAGCAATCTCATATTGACCAAACGTTCTTAAGAAAAGCTGATACAATTGAGAATAAACTAAGTAAGCATGTCCACACAGCAGCACTTATCTCAAACACACTGTCAGCCAAAGGATCCTTCCTCGGGCCATTGGGCCCTTCCACACTGGCATGGTGATGTAGGTGAACTGTTGTTGGCTGGAGAACCCTTAAAATCTTCAATTCAGGGACAATTTTATCCAGGGATTAAGATTTTTCCTTTCCATGTTAGTTCCCTTAAAAAGATACTTACATTTACGTGCCTTCTTTGGGGACTTCATGAAGACACGAGATTTACAGGCAATGCATCTTGAGGGCTTCCTTAAAAAACTAATCTCAAGGGCTTCAACAGTACTATGAAGACATGAAGTCTGAACTAGACTATCAAACAGTAAACTGAAATATCAGGGCTTCATGTCATGATATTCCACATCTGATTTTGCCAAAGGTGTTGTATTAACCATCTCCCCATTCTGTCACCTCCATTCCATCTACTACACCCAGATTCTTGCAATATCATAAAGGAACCTGCATTCAACATAATTAACACCTCTTTTTTTGATAAATGTCTTTAACGAAATTTTTAGTTTTAAACTTTATTTCTAGGTTTTTATTTAAAAATAAAACCAACAACCCAAGACTCCAAACACATAAGGAGAAAAATCACAAAGGTCCAATCTGGTTTAATTCAAGACTTCTCCTTCACTTTATGAAAACAAAACCATTTTATCCTCCACAAGATAGTACTCCTTTTTCCAAATAGAGCACTTTCACGTGCTTCCTTCCTTTTGATCTTTAGAAGAGATCTTTGAAGGAGGTGGGGGCAGGTACTAATATACCCACTGAGAGCTGGAACAGTAGCAAAATTTGAACCAGGGTCCAACCCGAGTCTTCCTTGGTACCCACAGAGCTGTTCACGCAGAAAAAAACCTGTCCATACTTCATGAAGCTATAACAGGATGCTGCACTTTCTAATATGCCTCTGTGCTCTTTTCCTTCAAGTGAGCAAAGCCTATTTGCTCTACAACTTTAGAAACCAAAGGTGCACTATAAAAAGTTGATGTATGGACAACATCAAAATCAATAGTGTACAGGTTTTATAAACACAAGTGGGGCCTTGGTGTGATTCACAGGACTACTCAGGAAACATGACCAAGCACTATGAACTCATCGGACTGGTCAAATTTGGTCAATGACATCTACGAACACCACCTAACAGATAGACTGATCGTGTTTCCTGGGGCTTTTTACCTGGACTCTTTTTATGTAGGAAAGATAATATCCTGTTTCTCCCTTTCTCATGCAATTTGGAGTTTAGAAAGATGAACACTTTCAGAATGTATTTATTTAATGATTTTTATTTTTCATAAGTCAGTCATTTCTACCTTATTTCATTTAGGTCACACTTAGTTTGACTAAATTAATGTAAATATGTACCTCAACTATTGGTCTTGGAACCTCTATAGGCTGAAGTTTCTGTCACTGGCTTGACAGACACAAGGTTCCAATACTGGTCCTAGCTCTGTCACAAACCAGCTATGTGCCTTGGGCAAAGCTCTTAACCTCTCTGAACTTCAGTATTCTCATCTGTAAAAACGGGTTTGGGTCCAGATGCTATCTCAGAATTTTTCACTGCTCTGCTTCTATGATTTCCTCCATTTGACTACATGCATAAGTAGCTATATAGTGGAAACCAACCAAACACGTTTCTAGGAGCTTGGCAAAGCCTCATTCTTGAAGAAAGTAGGGTTTCAGAACCCCTGAAGGAGAGCAAAGCTGCCGTGGCTGTTGCCCAGCACCTACTTCAGTCCCAGAGTCCATCTCCTGGGAATGGGTAGAGACGCGCCCCAGGCCCTCGGTTGGGGTCCCAGCCGGGGAGTGACTCTGCTGCACCAGGTCTGGGAGGTTGATGTGGCCAGCGAAGCCATTGCTGTCACTGTGGCCAGATCGCTTCTTCTCTCCAGATGTCTGAAGGGCATAACACATGGGGAGCATTAGAGGAGGAGGGCAAAAGCAACAGAGTAGCATCACTCCTCATGCAGCACAGGTGTAGTGGTCTCCAAATCGACCCACTAAAGTGTGGGAAGTAACACTCAAATTTCTATTTTACCTAAGGAAGTAAAAAAGAAGTTAAGCTTTGCGAATATTTAGTATGTGGATTGACCCTGAGGCTTTATGGTGCTGCATGAGGGGCAATCAGGGTTCACACAGGATATGGGGGTTTACTGTGGGAAGACAGGGATGCCACAGGTAGAAGGGCTGAGTGGGGCCGACACTTGCAAGTATGTGTGTGTGCGTGCTCACCTGTGCATGCACGCCAGTTAACTGGATTTACAGATCATATTACCAGGTTATAATGACAAAACCCCACAAAGCAAATACAGGGATGAAAAAACCCAGGGAAGAAATACTGGATTAAAAGACAACTCTGCTCCCTAAAGCCAGTGCCCACGTTGTAGTCCATGCGTGTATTATGCTTTCTAATTTAACATTTATGCGACTAGCTTGCTGAGGGTCCTTAGAGCACCTGATTAAGTAATGATTCCTTTCCTTGCCTTTTCTTTCTTTTATTCATTTACCTAACATTTTTGAATGTCTACTAAATGTGAGGCATTTACTGAACATGCAGGAATCAGCCAGGAACAAGGCAGATGCATTTCCTGCCTTGCTGGGGCTGGCTGGCATGGGCAAGGGTTCATGCTTTTTCTTTGAACACCTAACCAGCCTGGCTTCTCTTTCCAGAACCTGTCCTGGTCTTGCAATTACAGTTCTGCCCCTGCTTCTGGCTGGAAGGGAAAGAAGGAGCTTTCTTTTTGCAGGACAAAACACACTCCCAAGTTCTTGAAGGGGTGCATGTATTTGATGTTACCAAGAAGCTTAAAAAATAACTGGAAAGCCTCAATGCCCTCTATGTTTCTTGGCAATATGCTCCTGTCCCAGAGAGAGGCATTTTCTGGATTCATTTTCTAACAGTGATCATCTGAACATTTCATCCATAAATGACATTTTGGGGGGTTCCATCCTAATTTATCTTATTGTCCTCTCTTTTATTTGAACTGGGCAGCTTCTCCTTCCTTCTAACTTCTGTTCAAACACTGAAAAGCTTTTCTTTACATACCACCCCCCAACTTTCCAGTAGCATTAATCACACTTTGTCCCTTTAGAGCTTTGTAGTCTCTTTTCTAGCAGCAGCATTCTGCCTCAAGCCAAAAACGGATACAGAAACATTGGTTATCAAAAACTTGAAAAGAGGCTCATGAAGGAAATGGCCCAGACAGTGGGAAGCTTGAAGGAATCCAGCAATGACCCCTGAACCTTCCCACTTCTGAGTCATCACGCTTTTCTTCCTTCAGCCAGCACCTTCTTAGAATTAAATATCTTCTGTATGCCAGGCATTCTGCTGGGAACACACAGGTGAGGGAACAGCAGCCCTGCCCTCTAGGACCCTATTAACAGAGCCCTGACAATCTCTACTATCTTCATGCCCTTACCGTCCCCATGGAGCTGAGACAAAGATGTTCCAACATATGCCTGGGACCCCACTAAACACTGTATGTTTACATCCTCACACTAACGCCATGGTTAGTTTCCATTATCCCACTTACAGATGGAAAACTTCAGTGTAAAGAATTCAGTTAACTTGTCCTGAGTGACATAGGTTGTAAGTGGTGAAATCAGGGTTTGAACCTAGGTTCTCTGGGCTCTGCTCTCGGTTGCAGCGAATTGGAACAGGAGAGGACACCTGAGGCAAGCAGGATCAGATTCCCACTGGAATTTCCTGTTAGCCCTGAGAGTTACTGGTCAGTCCCTGCTGGGCAGCTGAACTGGGATGTGGTGATTATCTTGCTGTGGGGCATAAATAAGAGCACACAAACAGAGGAAAAGAAAGCTGGTCTGTGGAGAGAGAGACAGAGATGACGGTAGGAGAGACAAGCCGCAAGAGAGCCAGAGATGTGTGCGTGAGAAGTTACCTGAGCTACTGATTCCTTTTCAGTGTCTGCATAGCCCTGCATAGGGTCCCAACTCACTCTGCCTTTGGAGTCCTTCAATGAAATACCTCTAAATCTTATTCCCCATCTCTGATATCTACTCCTTTTTTTTTTTCCTTAAACTGTTTTAAGTGGGATCTTTTTCCTTCTGTAACCAAGAAAACCTTCATGATGATAAACTCGTATTCTGGTTCAGTGAAGTGGACAGACCCTGGAGAGATACCAGCTGGTCAGTAAGATAGGTGCTATGAACATAGGCCCATGGAGTCCCGGGAGAAGCTTCAAGGAGAAAGGGAAGGCTGAGAACAGCTCTTCCAGCAGATGAGCCCCTGTGGACAGTGGAAGATGACAGCTGGTATAGTGTGTTCTAGAACTAGAGTAAAGAAAGGTTCTATGGGGTTGTAGGACAGAGAAAAGTAGAATGACAGGGGTGTGCATTACTAGGGCAAATTTGTGCATCTGACAATATCATGGGTAGTAGAGCCAGTATGTTCTTATAGAACCATCTAGTCCATTCTCACGAGAATGACAAGTTGAGTGAGTTCTCCTTGATGTTCATCTTATGAACTAATAGTACCTTATTAATATGTTCTATTATAATCAGTTTTTATTTCCTCATTATTTTGTCAGGGACATACTTTAACTTGCATTTTTTTTTTAACACATGTACTTTTAATGGATTTCAACTCAAGATTTGTTATTTTAAAAGCCCACATTTGGGAAAGTTAGAATTTAGAAATTGAGAGGATAGAAAGATTTGGAGAACCTCAACAGATTAAATGCATATAAGATACTGGTGAACGCTATTTTCAAAGTGATTGATTGTGGTCACAGAGCGTCAGAGTGCTTGAAATAATACAGAACCATTTGGAAGTGGCCGCCAACTGAACTGAGAATGTGGCTCCAAATATCTAGTTCAAGGTATTTACTCTGTCATAAAGATCCAAGCAAGTTTTAAACCACATTAGAAATTGGAGTCCTTTAATTTGGAGTCAGAGAGTAACTCACTCCAGAACATTTTCCCAAGTAGCAGCCCATTGTGATAGACACTCTCTATGTGTCCACTGAAATTATCCATTCGCCACATTGGGAGATTTCTACACCAGCACTAAACACTGTCAACTTCAACAGCCAGGCCCATTTTTCATTTCAGACTTACACGAAAGGACTCTTTAAAGTCTACTTAAAAGATTCGGCAAGGCCATAAAATGAAATTCTAATAAGTTGCTTTGTGAACTATACTTCTAGTTTTAGCCCTACTGCCAATTATTCCTTAAAAGGCTTTATTCATCTCAAAATTGCCGTTTCTTTCTTTCTAATAAAAGTGAGATGCCCCCTGACTTTTTGGAGAGCAAAGCCTGCTATTAGGGTTTCCCAGTCTATCCTGCCTGAGGAAGGGGAATGACAGATGATAAATGTTTATGTTTCAGAGGGAAGAGTAGGGGGAATAATAACATATAAAAGAGGAGCTCAACTCTGTGGAGGGAGTGACATAATGTTGTTAACATTTACTGCATGCTTACGTGTATTAAGTCATTTAATCCTCCCAATCATCTTACCGTACTATTATTTATGAAATTTTATAAATGGTAAAACAGATACAAGGAGAGGTCAAATGACTTTTACCCATTGTCCCCAGCCATTACTTTCCTTCCAAGTAAAGATCTACAGTCAAACTGCATGGTGACAATAAAGTGAAAAAGAAGAAAATAAGGATTATAATTTGTCAAGACCCTTCTGTGGCACAGATCCAACAAGGAAACACTGCACGGTGAGGGACAGGTGAAAGGAGACATGTCAGCCCCTTCCCAAAGGAAATCATGCTCCTAGAGTTAAAAAAAAAAAATCACAGGAAGTGCTAAGGTGCATTTTTAAGTACAACTGCATACTTCTTTGTTCTTTTCACCAATATAGCTTAATAGTCTTTTTAATGTTAATTTAACTAGTAAGATGACATCACCATTCCTTGGAACTACTGAGCATTTTCTTCATAAAATCCACAAGGATAAAACCATGGGGGAGGAGGCATAATAAGGCCACTGATGTTATTCAGAGAGACCATTCATTTCTATTCTCCTGCAGTAGGAAACATCTCGGTTTACCAGTTTTGTAACCTAAGGCTCAAATCCTATATTCCGATTTGCATAGCTCCTACTGAAGAATTTGGACTAATGTAATTAAGTCACACTACAAAAGCTTAGAAGGATACAGGAAAGGAGGTGAACAATTAAAATCACTCAACCATTTAAAAGCACAAGCTCCCCACCCCACCAACCCTCATGCTTAAAATACACGCCGTAAGCATTCTCTATGAAAGCCCTAATATAAAAACAACTTAAGAAGTGCACTTCCCCTACACCGTTTTTATACCAACTTACCTCTCTTATCATCAAGGTTCCTTCTCTTGAAATACTGCTGCTGAAAGTGTCCGCATGAGAAGTCTCCAGCCCATGCGTGCCAACCATGCCCACATTGTACTGCTCTGTGCTCCCAGGAGCGCCTGTTGGTCTGAGGTGGGAAGGAACAACATTCGTGATAATGTATGTTCAGGGAATACCTGCTTCCTATTAATGTTCACTATTTTTTATTGTGGTAAGATATACATAACATAAAATGTATCTTACATTATTTTAACCATTTGTAAGTACCTAGTCCAGTGGCCTTAGCTATATTCCGTATTCATTTTTGATGCTGCACTGGTGCCTGAACTTTGTCCCACTTCTGCAGCATCCCCTCTCGGTCTGTTCTCCACCCAGCAGCCAGAGTGAGCAGCGAGGTTCTGAGTGATCTGCGAGCCCTCCCTACCTTTTCTTTGACCAGAAGCTACCCTGACCTGCATTCTTTTAAAAATTAAATTTATTGGGATGACATTGGTTAATAAAATTTTATGTTTCAACTGTACAATTCAATAATACATCATATGTATATTGCATTGTGTATTAACCACCCAAAGCTAAATTTCTTTTCATCACCTTATATTTGACCCCCATTACCCTCATTTACCTCCCCCATTCCCCCTTCCCTTCTGGGAACAATGAAACTGTTGTCTGTGTCCACGAGTCTCTGTTTGTTTGTATTGTTCATTTGTTGCTTTCAGTTTTATACCCCATGTATGAGTGATATCGTATGGTTCTCAACTTTTTCTTTATGACTTATTTCACTTAGTATGTTAATGAGAGCCCAGAAATAAACCCCTGTACATATGGGCAAATATTTTTCAACAAAGGAGTCAAAAACATACAATGAAGAAAAGAAAGCCTCTTCAATTAATGGTACTGGGAAAATTGGAAAGCTACATGCAAAAGAATGAAACCAGACTGCTATCTGTCACCATACACCAAAATTAACTCAAAATGGATCAAAGACCTAAATATAAGACCTGTCCTGCATTTGTGTACATGCTGCTCCCTCTGCCTGAAAGCTCTCTCACCCTGGTTCTTGGCTGGTTCCCTCTCATTCATCTGATTTCATCTTAAATGATACTTTGCCTGAGAAGCCTTTTCTCACCACTTATCCATGTTTTATTCCACCAGCCCCTCCTCTTTCTCTTTACACTTTTTCCTTAATATTTCTCATCACAATTTGTAATTCTTTATCTTTTTTATTACCTTTTAACTTTTTCCTTCTCTCTCATTAGAACATATGCTTGTGAGGGCAGAGTCTTATCTCTTTGCTCATCACTGTATACCTGGTATCCAGCATAGAGCTTGGCACAGAGCAGGGGTACCAAAAGTAATCATTTGAAAAATGTGTTTTACACTATTTATAAAGAAGAAATATCACAGAAGGGCATTCTGGTTTACCAGGGCATCCATCAATAAGGCTGTTTAACAAAAACAGTAGTCAACACTTTTTTAAACCTCTGTAATCACCCCACACTGTAGCACATTTATTTCCAATTTGTTTCTTGTTCTTATGTTTAAGATATAATGAAGAACCAGATGCCAATGCACGCCCTGAGAGTGGAAGCTGATGTTTTCTGTATCCTGTGGCGCAGACCACTGCACCAAGGGAAACCGAGAACTAGGCAGGAGATGTGGCTAGTCTGAGGGTTTCAGTTTTCAGCGCTGTACTGATGGTTATCCTACCTCTGTAGTGGCCTCGCTTTTAAACTGGGTTTTTGAAAAATAGGAAAGCTATCAACTCTTATTTCTCTCAGGTGTATTAAGTACCTCTTCTACTTTTTTGTTCTTCTAATTATTTCTTAAAAACTTAAAATCTTGGATCCTATCGGAGTCCAAAGACTTGATGAGACATTCAGTCTAAGAAGCAAAAAATACCCCAGACTATGATATCTGTGGGACAGAGAAAACATCTGTCAAGAATATTTATCTAGAACAGAGAGGCAAAAAGATGAGTCCAGACCAAAAAAAAAAAAGTTTAGCAAGACACTTCAAAATGACTAAATTGGAGCAGGAAATTGAATGATTTAGCTGTGGGTTAGAACTGACATGACTGGGAAGAAATTCCAAAGAAGCATTTTCAATATTACATTCCCCAAAAGGAGCTACTAATAGTATTTCAGAGACATGGAAAGAGAAATTGCTGCAATGAATTCCTGACATATTGCTAGACTGGTAAATCAGACTAGTCCTCAAAATTATGATTTCTTTACTCACTTATTCAAAATTTTATTTTATCTTATATTTTTTAAGCTGCCTTAAATTATTTGGGACAAGATGGTATGAAACAAATAAATCAATAAAAATAAGCATTTATCAAGAGCCAAAGTCTTCTAGGAAGGAAGAGCTCTTCTTCATTACTCAGGCATTCGTTGCTACTGTCAGGAGTTAGACTGACAATGGCACCACCAGATTGATGATGTATAATCAAGTTCTCTTTCACCATTAGAGAGTCTCGTGGGAGTTCAAAGGTCAAAGATATTTTGGCTCCACTTTTTTTCCCCCTGATGATGTTCTGATTCTATCCCAACATGTCAGTCAGAAATATGTCAACCTGGATGAATTTTCATAAAAAAAGTACTTCCTAGAGCTAATTCCATTAAGACAATTCCTTGACTAATTTTCTATGTATCTCAGTTAAACTCTTCCCCAATTTTTGTATTTTCATGGTTACTTTACCTCTGGTTCCAATTATTTTTCTGTGTAAATTTTACAGCTAATACTTGATATATCAATCAAGTTTTTTTTTGTCCATATCATCCTTCAAAGGCTTCTGTAGTCACTACTTCTACCAAGTCCAGTTTTTCTGGGTCAGTTTTATAAGTATGCATTTTCCTAAGAAGATCTGTCAATTTTTAGTCAACAGCAAGTTTTATAGTGTAGAGTACTGGCCATTAACAGTTTTATCACTTGCTAAATATTTTTACTGAGATTATTTTTTTTCTTGGGTCAATTTTTATACTTCCAATTTTATGAGCCATAACTGCTTCATCTATGGTAAATTTCTATGTAGAGCAGTTTGGGCTATTTTGATTTTTATTTTTTAATGTTATTTTACTAGTAATACTCCTTGTAGATTGAATAAAAGATACTCTTGTGTTTCTTCCCTTCTTACTCTCTTGGCTTTTGAGAGACAAATTTTCCCTGGAAGTCCTTTAACTCCTCTGTTCCAGTATGTTTCTTTTATGGTTCAGAGCTCAGTGATCTGACCCATCAATCTTTGTCAACCCTTATAAGTTCATTCTTTCATTCACTCACTTATTCATATACTCATTAAAAGTTTATTATGTGATACACACTGTGCTAGATGCTAAAAAAAATTTCAAAAATAAGACATAACCTCCAACTTCTAGAGGATAATAATCTAATGACAGTTGAGAGACAAATAAGGTACATAAAGTGATGGACAAAAGACAATATAATTATTTAGCAATATGACATTTTTAATTTAGTGACAAAGCTAAATAGAAGAGCAGGGGAACAATGTTAGTTAGAAATTATGTCTTCTCTTCCTTCTTGTGTTTTCACAATCCCTCTCCCTGTAATGGTTCTTTCTCCCAAGCAATAAGCATAAGGTCTCTCTCTCATTTCATTAAAACATCTCCCTTGACCCAAACCTGTATTTACCATCCACACTTAATTTTTCTTTTTTCTTAAAGTTCTCTTTGCAAAGGTTTCCATTTCTTCCAACTTTTTCCTCAACACACTACGCGTTATTCACTCCTCAAAACATTGCTTCCTATATCTGACTTTAAGCACCTCAAAGAAACACAAGTCATTTCTTAGCTCACAAATTCAGTGATTATTCTTTGATACTTGTGTTTGTCCTCCTGCCTGTGTCTATTACTGATCACTCCACTCCATCCTTCTCTACATCCCTAGCTCTTGAGAAGCAATTTCTCCCTGGTTTCCCTTTTACCCTCTTCTGTTCTCTCTCTCTTTTTTTTTTGTGAGCTCTGCTAAAGTGCTACTGGTCCCCAGGATTCTGTTTCACTCTACATAACATTTTGGATGCTCTTATCTACAACCGTTTTTAATTATCACTCATGTGTGGAATAATCCTCAATCAATATATCTAATTTTTTCATTCAGAAGCTCATTATTCAACTTCCTGTTGGAAATCTCTACCTATAGGTCTTCACAGGTTTCTCTAACTCGACATGCTCCAAACTAAAGCCCTCATCTTCCTTCCTAAACAGATGCTTCCTCTTGTATTATTGACCTCAGTTAGTGGAGTTACAAGCCATCTAATTATTCATGGTCCCCTTGGACTCCTTTCCCTCGTCTGTCCCTCACCTTGAATCTAGATCCTGCCAATTCTACCTCCTAAACATGCCTCAAGTATTTTCTGTCCTTTCTGGGACTATTCCAGTTAAGTCTGCTTCCTCTGTTACTTACTTGAACAACAGTCTTTCACTCTATTTCCAGTTCTGTCCTCCTCATATCTACTCTTCACAGCTACCAAATGAGCTTTCTAAAACACAAATTAATCATATCACCATTCTGCTTTCAACCTGCAGTAGCTCCCCATTAACCACTAGATAAACTTGAAATTTCTTCCAGTGGTTTATAGCCTCCTCCATTATCTTGTCCTGGCCTATCTCTCTAGGCTTACGTTTTCATTTCTAACTCTAACAACATGTTAGAGTTAATTTCTAGTAGCTTCTTCCATACATCATGCTACCTTGGATGACTTTATCTTCTGTCTCTGAAAGATTCTTTTACATTCTCTGCTTCCCCTTGAGTAACTCATTCTTTAAACTGCAGTTCAAGCATCCCCACCGCACCCCAGATCCACTGGGATGGTTTAGTTGGCTCTTCACTCTGCTTCCACATTACTCTCTGCACATCTCTACCAATACACTCAGTACGCAATCCTACAATGATCAGACCTCACTGACGTTGGTATCTTCACTGCCAAGCACTGTGCCTGGCATGCAAGTAGCATCCAGTAAATGTTTAATAAATCATGGAAGGTCTTAGGCCAAAGGCTTTGTTTAATAATGCTAATTATGACTTCATTCAAGTTTATTATTAAAATATAGCTCTTTTATGAATTGATGAGTAGTCACTTATGAGGATAGTTATTAGCATGTTTAAAATGTC